AAAGAAAGAGAAAGAAAGAAAGGCAAGAAAGGCCACTGAGTTCTGAGGACCAATGCAATCATTCTGGTGCCAGGTGGAAAACTGCTGATAAAGGGGCAGGGGCACGAGCAGGGAGTTCAGACAAGTCTTTTTCAATAAACCAGATGGGTGATGATGGCAGCTTGCCCCAAGCTGGTGGCCATGAAGGTGGTGAGAAGTGGCCCAATTCTGGTGGAGGTGGAGTTGACAGGCTGGACAAAAAAATGGAAAATCTGGGCTCAAATAAAAAAAAAAAAATTAATACTTTCTAAAGCTTGCCAGTGGGTTTTTTTCTTTCCCACAATTTCATTGTACTTAATCTCACCGTCAATTAGTTCACGCTTAGATGCAGAACAGTGAGTTTTGAGGAGCCAAAAAAGGTTTTAACTTGCCTAAATTGTTTCAGTTAGCATAACTGCTTTTGTGCTAATTATTGGTGATTGAGTTTTAAGACCCAACAAATGCAGGCATAGGCTGGCAAATTCTATGCAGGCTCACTTTGCACTAAGTCTTGCACATTAAAAAAAGGAGGCCAGAGAGCTTTGGCTCCCAAAGAGAGAAGGGCTCTCTCTTCCCAGCAGCAAGCTCCTGAAACTACCATTAGGTTCAGACACTAGAAGAGTCAGACACTAGAAGAGTCAGACACTAGAAGAGTCAGACACTAGAAGAGTCAGACACTAGAAGAGTCAGGACAAGAAGCCAGCTTACTTTATTTCTGGCCCAGAGCTCACGGCACCCCTCTGCTCTTTGGCACCACCAACCTCAAGAATAAGGTTCCAGCAAGAATAAGGTTCCCTAAAATTCCCCGGGAAAACAGAAATCCTACTGCTCACTTCCCCACCCTCACATCTACTTCTCTAATTGTCTCACTGGATACAATGTCCCACAAATTCATATTCTCAGAGGAAACCCCTTTTGAGAGAGCAACGGGTCCAGCCTCTCACACGGTTAGAAAGTTCACAAGGTGCCAACAGTGGTCGTGGTGTTTCTCCTAAGGGACTTAACATACTGATGTCCAGGCCCCACCCTCAACTCATTAAATTGGTTTAAGGAGGAGCCCAGACATGAGTATTTTTTTAAAGCTCAAGTGACTTTAATGTGCATCCAGGGTTGAGAATGACTGCCCCAACATCTTCTACTGAGGCAACAGATTTTCAAAGGTGTGTCCTTCAACACGCAAGGAAGACAGCCTATCCAGCAAGAGGGGTGCATGTCAGCAGCAAGAGTGAAGTGGCTCTTAGCCAGGAGGGTGAAGCTGCAGGCTGTGCCTCTCAGGCAACCCGTGGTGATACTCCCAAATCACATCCCAATTTCTAGAGGAGACATTCCTCCAGACATCCACACGGCCTTAACACAATTACTGCTTAGAGGCAGCTCAATAACCAAGAATTATTCAAAAGGCAACAACACGTGAACGTTGAGGCACAGCAAAATTAGTCATCCACTTACTTACTGAATCTTCAACTAAATTTCACTTTGGTGTTGGCCAAATGCCACAAACACCTGCCTTAAACATTGTCAGACTATCAGCAAAGATGCCGGTGCAAGCAATGCTCTCAAAGCCTCTTCATCCTAGCCCAGCCCAAGAGATACAGGTAATCGTTTTTCTTTGGGAAAGAAGGTTCATTTCAGGGCAACTATAACCAGAGATAATTTGGGTTTATCTCTAGGGCATCCAGCCCTCTCAAGGAATAGACTCCACTGACTAAGACAGTTGCTGCCATTACCCTGCAATTACACTGGTTAAGCCAGTAGTAAATAAAGGTCTAGAATGAATGTATTTCATGTGACTTATAATGAAAACAATGATTTTGCAAGTTCTTATCACAAAGAACTTGAGATGTCTGACATCTCTAGTACCAGCTCGTGAAAACAGTAAGATCATTTCCATGTTCTTTAGACTTGGTGATGAATTTCTTTTCTAGAACACCATCTATAGTCACTATTTTGCTGTTATGAGCTGTTGAGCAACATTAAGGTGGTGGACTCCTGCAGAAGCCAGGCACTGACAGCCTCTCTAGAAGTAACTCCACGTTGCATTTGACTGAATGCCCCAAATTCCAACCTAAGTATTAAAAACCTAATTCCTGTGTTCTTACATAACAGTCCACAGAAATTAGCTAGAATCTGACCTTCCCCCATCACTATTTTTGGGAGCGGTAATAAACAGGAGTAACTTCTCCGAGATACAATGCTATTTATCTCGCTCTTGTTTAGCCCACAGTCCAGTAAATACAGGTATATCAATAAATTAAAAGGCCTCAAAGAGCATTAAGCCAGAAAGACCCATGCTTTAAATACACATTGGGCTTGAACAGAAGTGTGTGCATATGCATACGCAAACTCGTGTGTAAAGAGTCTCTCAATTTAGAAAACAGCACTTCAACCTCTTGTGCTTAAAGTCAAGCAAATATGGTACAGACAGAACCAGAGAGCTCTGCTGCTGGCCCGTCTCCCTCACTCAGTCACTTGAGAGACCCGCTTTAGAGCAGGTGTTCCAGGAGAAATCACACACTGCTACCCAGGGGAAGGAACAAAAGAGGGCTTGCAGATTCAATATCCGGCCTCTACCTCACGACAAATGTATTCGTCAATGAAAAAGGAAGAGAGGTTTGGTTCCAATGCCTTTATGATCCAAAGTATTAGGTTGGCACAAAAGTAATTGCAGGTTTTGTCACTATTTTTATTTATTTATTTATTTATTTATTTATTTATTTATTTTAGATGGAGTCTCACTCTGGGCTCAGACTGGAGTGCAGTGGCATGATCTTGGCAGACTGCAACCTCCGCCTCCCGGGTTCAAGTGATTCTCCTGCCTCAGCTTCCCTTGTAGTTGGGAGTACAGGAATGTGCCACCACCCCCAGCTGATTTTTATATTTTTAGTAGAGGGGTTTCACCGTGTTGGCCAGGCTAGTCTCGAACTCCTGACCTCAGATGATACACCCTCCTTGGCCTCCCAAAGCGCTGGGATTACAGGCGTGAGCCAACGCGCCCAGCCTGTCATTACTTTTAATGGCAAAAACCGCAACTACTTTGGCACCAATCTGATAGGCAAATCTCACTGTGTATTTAATGTATCTTTCCCTATTAATGAGCTTAAACCAATGTCTGAGGCTGTGGTGACTGTTTGACTATGGAGGTACCTGCTGTAAAAGGAAGTAAATAAATGCAAAGTTAGGGCAGCCCCCTGCCAATGTAAAGCTGCTAGAACATATGCCCAGTTACAAGCTATATTATATGGAATTTGAAGTGAGAGAAATCCCTAGAAAATGGGATTTCATTTTCTAGAAAATGAAAACTCAGTTCATTTAAAATCTGGCTCCTTCTAATTTAATAATGAAAGCTCATAAAAGTATGAGACAGAAGAGAAATAAGCTTCAGTGTAAAGCTTTCCTTCCAAAGAGGTTTGCTCAAAAAAGAAGTCTGTTCAAAAATTCAAGACTCATCCAAAGACTATTTATTGAAGACCTACTATGTACAGCACTGCAGTAGACACCACTGGAGATCAGATACAAATGAGGGAAATCCCTGGGAGATTCCTACTTTACATCTAAGAAATCACAACTTCAATTGTTCTTCACACCAGAGACAAAAGGGCACACTGGAGACCACCACTCCTCTATCCAATACTGCGGGGGAGGAAGTGGGGACACTAGACACGGTAGTAGCTCTGGAAATAAATAGCTGCTCAAGTTCACACAACCTTGAATTTTTCCCTTACAAATAAGCATAGTCTTCTGAGTTTTCTATACAAAAATATAAAAGAAGTAAAGCACCTTAAAACCTGAGCCAAAAACTACTAGCCTAGAATCAAGACAGTGTGATAGTCAGGAATTGCTAAATCAGACGAGACAGATGGGTTCCCCTAGCATCAGGAGCTTAATGATTTCAGGTTACCAGTGGAGCTGAGTACAAGCATGCCTTAAGATAGAAGGCAAATCTGTCAAGGCCCTCCCCTCCTGGAGAATCTGCAGTGGGGTTAGCAGTCCTAAAGCTCCACCCCAGCACTCTGCCTCCTCCATTGCACCACTCCTGCCACCCCATCCTCGCCTCAGTCTTTCCCAGAAGTCATTTCATCTGCTTGGAGACTGTTGTCACAGTATCTGCACGATGCATCATTTTCTCAGAAAAAGATAAAGAATAGAAAAGGTAAATCAATAGACAGAAAGTAGAGGAGTGGTTGCCTGGGCTGAGGTTAGAATGGGAGTGAGGTAAATGAGCATGAGGCTTCTTTTGGAGTGATGGAAATGTTCTAAAATTGGTTTGTGGTGGTGGTTGCACAACTCTGTAAATATACTAAACATCGCTGAACTCTACACTTAAAATAGGTTATTTTTATGGTATGTAAATGATATCCCAATAAAGCTGTTAATTTTTTAAAAAGTGTTAACTGTGTTTAACATTAAGCCATGAGAATGTCTACCCAAACGTGGGAGAAACAGCCTTGCTGAAAATGTAAAAACACGAGCAAATAGATCACAAGTTTGTTCAGGATTCCTTCAACTTTAATTGTGGGGGTAAAATCAGGCAGCCACTGAAGATAAAATACAGTCCCTGGGAGTAATCACAATGCTGTTTTCTTTTGTAAAGTGGACATGATAAGAGTTTTTTGTTTTGTTTTGTTTTGTTTTTCAGCACAAGTGGTCAAAAGTTGTCAAAATTGTCTTCATTCCTCGATTGTCTCTTTTTTACCAGTCTCTTGCCCTTCAAACAGAGGATACCTGGCCTCCACATCGGCCCATGTGATGCTGCCATTGGCTAGGTCTCGGACTATGCTGGGCAGCTCAGAGACCTAGAGACAAGGAGAGAGAAGCCAAGTATCAACCAACTTGTTCAGATTTTTAAGAAGATTTATCCTGAACTCAGGAAACCTTACACAGAGCCAAACAATGTCATGCCGGGTAAGGGTCCATGTTCTTCTTCTCGCCCACAATGCCCACCAGTTCCCCCAGACAACTCAATTCTGCCACAAAGCCTTTCCTAACTTTTCTAAATCTCCATGTCCTTTACTTCATGTGTATTAAATTTAACTATTAGAACAAACAGGCGTCAGTCAAGTAACTCGTGTGAGGGAGTTACATAAGACTGGCAAACTGGAGAGCTCTGACGAAGGAGGCCACTGTTCCTCAGCCAAAATCAAACACTGGCTGCCACATAGCAATGGTTCTCAAACTCGAGTGCACGTCAGAATCATCTGGAGGTCTCGTTAAAACTAAAAAAGTTTTGCCTGCCCCCTCTGCCTCTCCATCCCCAGTTTATGATGTAGTAGGTCTGGGGAGGTTTTGCTTATCTCACACATTTCCAGGTGACACTGATGCTGCTGGTCTAGGGACTACACTTTTGAGAACCACACCCAGATGGGTACACAGGTCCAGAGTAGCCAGATGGTCTCTAAAAAGTCAAGTTAGAAATTCATGACTTCTGGATTAGACTATAAACTTCAGAAAAAAAAAGCAGTCTTTTGCTTCTGTTTTCCCTATTAGTATCTGTATCAAGCTAAGTACGGAACAGGCACTTGAAATATGTGCTCAAAGTTGATAAATTAGGCAGGCAGACGTCAATTAGAGCAGCTACTCTTTCCTTTCCCTTACCACCCATCCTTCCCCTTCTGTGCTTCTACCATCTCCATTACTGCCTTCCTATTGACCAAAATTACTGAAACATCATTCACTGTTTTGAATATCTGAACACGGAAAAGTTTATACATACACATGTATACGTGTCTGTAAAAATAAAAAATTAAAATGTCTAACCCCTCAAAAGCCTACCAATAAAACTATGGCAACAAATTATTGGGATCATATTTCTCTTGCCCAATAAACAAACAAGTATAAAAGCAAACTGCTGGAGAATGAGCCCAGAGCAATACAAATGGTTATAAAATATTAGAGAAGTGCTAATGGATATTTTCATAATTAAACCGGGGGGACTTGAGAATCTGGGCTCTGTCTGATAGAAGCCGTTCATTAAAATTAAAAAAAAAAAAAAAAGGAAAGGGAGCATATACACATCAAAATCCAACACAAATCAGTAAGAAGCAGTACACATTTCTAAGGCTAAAAATGCCAAAGAGAAGGCCAGATACCTCTGCTCTTATCTGCCGCATTGAGTCACGGTCCCTCAGAGTTGCTGTGTGGGGGGTCTTGTTCACTGTGTCAAAGTCAATGGTGACACCAAAAGCCACGCCAATCTCATCAGTCCTGGCGTAGCGCCTTCCAATTGACCCAGAGGAATCGTCTACCTTGTGAGACACTCCGTGCCTGGTGAGGGCTTCCGCTATCCAAAATAAACAAAGTAAATTAAAAATAGAACAATGGAGTTAAGCCCAATGTTATCTAACTACTGTCTTCTTACAAGCTCAGACTTATAAAAGGGACCAAGACAAGACAGCAACAAGTTGAGTTGCAACACAAAGAAACATCCCTAAAGTTTAATAAATCCCTTGCGAGAATCCAAATCTTCACGCATACCTCCATCTGATACAGCTATAGGGGGAACAAATATAGGACCAAGAGCCAAGGCCAGAAGGTGAGTCCTGACTCCACCACCTCCATTTTTATGGCTCTGAGCAGGTCAATGGACTCTCCCCACTTCCCAACTCTGAAATAAGTGGGATGTGCCAGATGACCACTAGGATTCCTTTCAGGGCAGTGGATTCTGTAGCTGTAGATCCACTAGGGTTGCTACACTCCACTTGGGTTCCCTCGATGAACTGAGCACCAACGTCAGTATGAGAAGGAAATAATTTTTAAATCTGACTCTTGGGTCCTACCTTGACTCACTCAAATGCCAGAATAAAACATCTGAGCAAGCATACCCTCTCTCTTAGAAATAAGAGTACAGGCTAAAATCATGTACTCTTTATAAAATCATTTATATTCTTTATTCAATCTCTATTTTTATTGAAATAAACGATACATTTCCTAAGATTCAGTCTCCTGACGGTGTTCCCATGGAGTTTACCCAATTGAATTTGCTTACATAATTCCTTGACAAACGGCATGAACTCCTGGTTTTGGCTCAGTGGGAGGACGGAACATTTGAATGGAGCGACTACAGCAGGGAAACTGAAGAACTGGATGATTTAAAAAGAAAAAAATCCAAATATGTTAATTCGTAAATATCTAAATGCTAATACCCCAAACCAAAAGAGGTTAATATTCAGCAAGTGTTCAAGCATAACATCATTACCCAAATGCCAGAAAACATGACATGAAAAGCAGTATGGCAAAAGAGAAGCAGGAGAACCAGCATCAGAAACACCTGGTTTCAGCTCCAAATTTGGGCCAACTCATGAGCTCTCTTTCTAAACCTTAGTTTCTCCATCTAAAAAGCAGGTCTCCGCCACCTGCTCTGCTTGCTTCACAAGCCCGTTACTAAAAAAGTCAAATGATGTGAAAGCATTCTGAAAGCTACTACATATAAAAGACGGTAATTTTTAGTCCCACATAAAAGACAGTTTTTCTGTGGAGACTACCTAAATCATCAAACAAGTGGCAGTGCCCCAAACCAAAAGCCTATTCTGTCTTTTAAGAAAAGAACCTATGAGCCTTAGTGACCCAGTGAAACAGAAAAGTTTAATTAGCTCACAAACATAGGTCCAAAAGAAATAGTACAAAACAAAAAAGATGCTCCATATACCTACACTAAAAAGTACATACAGCCTTCTTAAACTGCCCTGAAATAGTTTCTGAGTAACTCAGAAATCAAAGAAAGCAAAAATAAGGCTGGGCACAGTGGCTCCTGCCTGTAACCCCAGCACTTTGGGAAGCTGAGGCAGAAGAATTGCTTGAGCCCAGGAATTCAAGACCAGCCAGGGCAACATGGCAAGACCCCATCTCTACAAAAACTAAAAAATTAGCTAGGCATTGTGAGGCGCACCTGTGGTCCCAGCTACTCGGGAGGCTGAAGCAGGAGGATTGTTTGAGCCCAGAAGTTTGAGGCTGTAGTCAGCTGAGATCATGCCACTGCACTCCAGCTGAGCAACAAAGCGAGACCAAAAAAAAAAAAAAGCGAAAATAAAAATATTCTGTGGAAGGCAAACCAATCTACCACTTTGGGTTGGAAATGGGAACTGAAGGCAGTTCTTAATACTTGTATAAAAGGTTCACTTGAAGGCAAAAACACAGAATAAATTTGTCCCATAAAAATAATGAATGACACAGATTCCAGTTTAGCCTCTTACCCAAAGTTCAATTAACCTTTAATGCCAAGCAATGAATATCCCACTCTAAGTAAGGCCTGTATTCCACCAACATTGCTGCTCACATCACAGAAGGTTCAGAATTATATTCCCTTCCTCCATCTTGTGATATTTCTATTTAATATGAGACAGTAATAGGGACCTGACTTTATAGAAAAATAATTTTTAGAATTTCACTAGCAATGTCTTTCTACTACATTTATAGGCAAATAGATTGAGGAACTAGGTGCTAACAATTTAGAAGCATTTTTGGCTTCCCACAGCCTAATCAAATTTCTCTTCATCATGGGAATTCACGCAATTCATAAAACACTGTGACTAATTTATTCTTGTTTAGCCCTTACGAAATTTCTATTAAAGCTGTAGTTATATTAATATTGTTAGATTCAAAGGAACAGCTAAAAGATTTTCTAAAACCTTTTTATTAGAAAAATAAGCAGAAAAAGCTTGAAGCAGACTTGACATCTAAAAAGAACACACGCAGTTATGTTTGTCATCATTTCTCAAAAAGAACCAAGCCTTATGTTTGCGTACCTGGGGCCTAGCCCAGGTTCTTACAATCTGTTGAATGAATAGGGCTGCTTCTTCAAGGTTGGGAAATGAAGATGCAACTTTAGGGCAGAGAGTACAGTACTAACTTTATTAGCTATGTATTACAATAGTGTGTCAGACTGAAGTACTGCTGCCGAGAATGCACTAGTTCATCCTTCAAGGTTAAATGTCCCAGAAAGAACCACAGGGTTGATGTCTAACATTACATACACTCAAGCTTTAGAATGGCCAAGTGGATGACGCTGTTTCTTTCAATTAACCTAACATATACAACCTCTCCTTTTTAGCCATTCTTCTGGTTGGCTTTCCTAGCAATCTGACCAGGAGTGTAACTTCTGCAGGCAGAGGCGAGGTAAAAATGGTGAAGTAAGGCAAGGAGATAGAGAGGAAGAAGGCAAAGAGACAGAGAGGAAGAAGGCAAGGAGCAGTGATTCAGAAGCATCAGAACCAAAAGAAAATTCGTGGGAGCTGATGAAGACTTCTTATAATCGTCTATCTTCAGCAATACTTGAATGCTAGGAAAGGCTATACCCCAGATAACTATTATTCCATTTATGATCTGTCAAGCTTTCACAGTGAAATCACCCAGGGTTCTTATTATTAAAAAAACACCCACATCCCTGGGTCTTAGACCTAGTAAATCAGCATCTCTAGAGTAGAACCTAGGAATTCACATCTTTACCCCAAAAGTACCCCAGACAATTTTATGCAGTTTGAGGAGGTTCCCTTTGATACTTTACCAGACTATAGATAGAGCTTAGTGGTCTGGCTAAATTCTATGAGTCATCTCATCCTTCCCAAATTTTCTGAAAACACAGCATATCCAGAAAGTGCCATTCCTTCCACTGACATAATGTAGATTGTTCCCTAAAGTAATTGGTTCAGTCTCAGAATAGACAGCACCAGGCAACTAAAACAATAGCTTCTAGAATAACCTAAAGCTCAAATAACACAGGAAAGTGGTTTGTCTATAAAAACTTAAGCAAAGATGAATGTTAACAGCACTAGTAGACAATAGTAATAACTAATTGATCATTCTAGAGTCTTATTAATGTACTTCACAATGTAATTCAGAACATTTTTATTATCTGACACTATAACAGCACACTACATGATAACTTACTGTTCTCTGTTCATCTCCTTCTCGTACATGGAATGTATGTTCAAATACCGTATACATGATCCTACCCAGGCCGAAGGAGGGTTCAATTACATTCGGAACAACTTCTTCCACTGCGAAAGAGAGAGAAATTCAATAACATTCTCTCAAATACCACATAATGCATTTCAGATTCTCTCTAAACAATTCACTGGGCACGGTGCTCACACCTGGAATCCCAGCATTTTGGGAGGCCGAGGTGGGTGGATCATCTGAGGTCAGGAGTTCGAGACCAGCCTGGCCAACATGGTGAAACCCCGTCTCTACTAAAAATACAAAAATTAGCCGGGTGTGGTGGCAGGTGCCTGTAATTCCAGCTACTCGGGAGGCTGAGGCAGCAGAATCGCTTGAACCCCGGAGGCGGAGGTTGCAGTAAGCCAAGATCGTGCCACTGCACTCCAACCTGGAAAACAAGGGCGAGACTTGGTCTCAAAAAAAAAAAAAAAAAATTCTTAGCACTAAAAATATCTCTATTCTAGATGGATTTTTTATCTCTGTATATCAGAACAAAGAAACCAGAACATACCTAAAAACTATTTGCTAATAGGAAACATGCCTTCGAAGAGAAAGTTGGAGTGAAAAAATCTTTCACCAAATTCTGTTTATACTGTGTAAAAACGAAACCTGAGTTACCAGAATGTTTCTTCACCAGTTGGCAAACTACGAATACCAGCAGCTACACTTTGTCTCTATCACCTGCCTTGGCTACCCAGAAAGCACAAAAAAATCTAAGGCTTTTAATAAGAATTTGCTAGAATTTAAAATCTAACACAGCTGGCAAAATTCACAAAAACAATTCCTACACGCAAAAAGTATTACACGGTTTGTGTTTCTTTAACTTTTTAGCTTGTTATCTTGATGAGAACTTGTTCAGAACCCCATTACTGGCATTGTATTACCAATGTTCTGGGGTCAGGACACCCTTAGGGAAGAGTTTGCTCAAAGAACAGCAGTCCATCAAAGACATCTTACAGTGGCCTACAGCTCTTCCTGTGGGTAAGACAACACCCGTGGTATACACAGGAAATACATTGATAATTATTACTTGTTATGTGGAAAGGAAGAAGCACTGCTAAGCACTGTCCGGGTCTAAGATAACTGGCCATAACCTTGGAGTTTATATTGTTTGGGAAATGAGATCATTGGAACCAAAAACTCACACATGTAGAGGAAAAGAGATCCTGTTTGTCTACGATAAAGAGTAATATTTTAGAAACATGATCAAGGCATTCCCCCTCCCCCCGATCCTTCTGTGGTATCTGAGTAATGGTGATGTGCAGCTCTGAACTAGCTGCCAGGATCGTGGCTATAAAGCCCCAGAGCGTGATGGAGAAGCCGCTGCTTACTCCTACCACTGCTCACAGAAGCCTGGCTACAAGACAGGCCAAGAACAAAGGCTCACTCTCTCCACTGGCAGTAGCTTCTCAAACACCCACTACTATTCTGTTTCCAGGAATTTCAATTCAGCCACAAATAAACTTCAGCATCCTCCATATATGCTCCAAATTACTCATTGCCTGATTCACATAATTTGTTCTACAAAAAAACAATCATCTTCTTAACTTTTAAAAAAGCATGAAACATCACTGGTCTAAATGGCTTTTTTTTTTTTTTTTTTTGGAGACAGAGTCTCGCCCGTTCACCCAGGCTAGAGTACAATGGCGCAATCTCGGCTTACTGCAAGCCTCCCAAGTAGCTGGGATTATAGGCACGCACCTCCACGCCCAGCTAAATTTTGTATTTTTTGTATTTTTGTATTTTGTATTTTTTGTTTGTTTGTTTTTGAGACGGCGTCTTGCTCAGTCGCCCAGTCTGGAGTGCAGTGGCATGATCTCAGCTCACTGCAAGCTCCGCCTTCCAGGTTCACACCGTTCTCCTGCCTCAGCCTCCTGAGTAGCTGGGATTACAGGTGCCAGGCGCCACACCCAGCTAATTTTTTTTGTATTTTTAGTAGAGATGGGGTTTCACCATGTAAGCCAGGATGGTCTCGATCTCCTGACCTCGTGATCCACCCACCTCAGCCTCCCAAAATGCTGGGATTACAGGCGTGAGCCACTGCACCCGGCAAAATTTTTGCATTTTTAGTAGAGATGGGGTTTCACCATGTTGGCCAGGCTGGTCTCAAACTCCTGACCTCGTGATCTACCCGCTCTCGGCCTCCCAAAGTGTTGGAATTACAGGCATGAGCCACCGCGTCTGGCCCCTAAAGGACTTTTTAATAAGTTATTTTGCCAAAAAAGACAGGGAATGAGGGCTAGGCGTGGCCGCTCATGCCTGTAATCCCAGCACCTTGGGAGGCCGAGTCGGGTGGACTGCTTGAGCCTAGGAGTTCAAGACCAGCCTGGGCAACGTGGCAAAAACCTCATCTCTACAAAAAATACAAAAATTCGTTGGGTATGGTAGCGTGCTCCTGTAGTCCCAGCTAATTGGGAGGCTGAGACAGGAGGAGGAATGCTTCAGCCCAGGAGGCAGAGGTTGTGCCACTGCACTCCAGCCTGGGTGACAGAGCGAGACCCTGTCTCAAACAACAGCAAAAGCTTTAAGGAGCAGTGACTTTTTGTTTATCATTTTTACAAATTTACCATATAGTGTTTTCTGGAATCTCTTCACATTGACCATGTCTTTTGTTAACTGAAATGTTTTCCCTTCAGTTTCAATTGTAAATTCCCTACAAAGAAACAAAATACATTTTGTATTAGTTCAAACAGGCACCCCATGCCTTAATTTAAAGGAATTTTGTAGATTGCTAAATTATTTTTTTATTTTTATAACTTGATCAACTCTCCAGATATAATAAGTGATGTCAAATTTAAATTATTTCATAAGAAACACCAAATTAAGTATTATTCTAACAATGGCACCAAAAAGTACTCTGAGGAGATACACCAAATTTTGACTAGTTTCATAAAATTCCACAAGTGACTTAATGACTAATGCCTTTGGTTTTGAGATCAAGGTAAAACCAAAAACAACTTTTTGAAAATTCAGTTTTAGAATAATAACAACTTTGTCAGAAATAAGCCTGCTGGTAAAAACACAAGGGTTCTCATTACTGTCCCAACAAATGTACAAATGAACCAGCACGCCATCTTATAAAAGTAATTTTACGGTCCAATGCCCACACTATTTTCAAAATAAATTTTGACATTTGTGTTGATGAAGATCAGTTTAAAAGAAGTTTAATGTTTCTGTTTCATACGGCAATATAAAATATTATCCCCCCCAAAATCACTGGCTGCCATGTATTTGTGTCCTGAGATATGCCCATTCAGTTTCAGGTTATAATAATTCACTCTTTATACAGAGTTTCATGTAATACCTGTATTTCAGCTTAGGAGGTGTTTCCTCACATTTTGAGTATCAATTTGGATTTCTCTTGCCTCCCAAGCAATTCAGTGCTAGGATAGAGAGCCCTCATGTGGTTGTCTCGGAAGCTGGATACTTGGCATACGTAACAACTGCATTTTGCTTGTTTCCACCTGTGATAATCTCATGCCTCATCTGACTGGTGTTCACTGAATTCTTCCGTTTTTACTATTCTGTCTGAAGTCTGTGTATGCGTGCATTAAAGGTTCCATTACATACACGG